GCAGGCTATTTAAAAGAATTTAATGTGATTGTCTTACTGAGCAGAGCTCAGTGGAAGGGGAAGAGTGGGGTGATTTTTTTTTTCTCACATAGTACTATCTGATTTTTTAAAATGTTTCTTTTAAGGTTTACTTAATATATAACAAATCATACCTACTTAGAGAGTGTAACTTGACAAGTTTAGTTATATGAACACCACAATCAAAACAGTAAATGTATCAATTTACTGTTTTGTAAATTGTACGCCTAAGATTTTTCCTACGCTTTGGATCCTTCTTTCTCAGGATTACTCCTGGGAAAGGACCTATGGGTGACTGAAAGTCAATAGACTCCCAGAAAATAGTCAGTATTTCCTACTTTGGTTTTAGTGTGCTAAGGAATTGTGCTACTATAGTGAGTTCTACAAACAGCAGCCTGGGGAAGCCTCCTTGCAGTCCAACAGGGCCTTTGAGAAGCACCTCCTCCAGGAAGGCTGCTGTGGCTCCCTCTCTGTGCCTGTGCCCCCTTCACTCTGTAGTGTGCTTGTGTCCTTCACCCTTGCCCCATCAGGGTGGAGATCCCCTTGGACTCCCAGGGGCTGGCTCAGAGTGCGGCCTCCGGAAATGTTTGTGATGAATGAATGGATGAAATATATGACATAAGAGACACATGAAGGTAAATGGGGTGAATACAAAATGTTGCCTAGTGTCAGTGACATAATGCTGTTGTGGGGAAGAGGGTGTCTCTTTAAAGACCAGGAAGCTAAAGTGGGAGGAAAACTCAGAAACACCCCTTGGAGGGGCCTGGGATAGATGTGTTCTGGGATAAAACCTTTTTCCAAACACCTCATTCTTCCCTATCCTTTCCCCTTCCCATCTGTATTTCCAACCCCTGACCAAGGACCCACCCAGGGAGCCCCAAACTGAGCTGACCTCAGCAGATGGGGACGAAGTTCACTAGTGGGCTTTCTTCCATCACACTGGCCCTTCCCTAGGCACAAAATCCTTCCCTGGGCTCTTTCCTACCAGATTGCAACCCCAGGGCTGCCACATATTCCCTGTAGTCTTTAACCAGAGCCCAGAACCCTTTTTTTTTTTTTTTTTTGGCACCGGGGATCAAACTCACGACTGCCTGCTTGCAAGGCAGGCGCTTATGCAGCTGAGTTAAATCCCCAGCCCCGAGCCCAGAATCTTTCAAGGCAGCAGTGGCACATTCAGTAAGTCAATGTGCGCCCACGTACAAGGCAGTTTTGCAGAAAAGGCAGGTACCAGGGACTGAGCTGATGTTTCCAAATGATCTTCCTTCATCCATCAGTCCAGAGCTATCAGGTCTTAGATCCCCCACCCCTGCCCAGCCCCTTCCCCAGCGTGATGTCTGTCCAAGAATAAACTGAAGGGTGGCCTCTTGCCTTTTCTCCATTCACTTGCCACTGTCCGTGCAAGACTGAGACATGTGTTCCATGCAGGACTGAGTTATGGACATTCTGAGTACTCAGAGACCGCAGAAAAAAAGAGAGGAAATAGGGACAAGCTTGACCTTCTCTATATTCTGTGACCTCACCATATGCAAGAATCATCCTGGGCCTGCATGGGCACTAGAAGCAAAGGACTACAGAAAAAGGCTGGAGGCTCAAGGGGTATTTTCAGTTTCTTTCATTTTTACAAAAAGCACCCTCTTGCCTCAACCACTGTGGCGCCTCAATTTACAAATGCTCTAACTTTAGAGCACTTAAGTTTCAAAGACACAGATCCTATGAGGCAATTTGTGCCTGATGGAGATTCCAGGCTTGAGCCCTGGGAGTGAAAGGGAAAGGGAGCAGCGGTGGAAGCAACGGTTTGGGAGATTAAAACTAGACACAGTTGAGTCTGATGGCGGTGGCACATGCCTGTGAATCCAACACGGGAGCGGCTGAGGCAGGAGGACTGCTGTGAGTTTGAGGCCAGCCTGGGCTACATGAGTGAGTTCAAGGTCAGCTGAACTACATAGTGAGATCCTGTTTCCAAAAACAAAATGACAACAATAACAACAAAAACTGGAGACACTTGTGAAGGGAGGGTTAGAGAAGAGGGTGAACAGAGAACAGGGTTTTTTGCAGGACAAAGATATGAAGGCATTCTTCTCTGGGCTCTATTCCACTCTTAAAACTGGAGCATGGGCTCTTCTTTCCCAATATGTGGACTCTTCCTGTGATTTACTTCCGGCTCCACATTTTGGCAGGCTTCCTGCCCCCATAAGCAGTCAAAGAGGAGGCTGGGGTGGAATTTCACAACTAAAAAACAATCGTCCTTTGATGCTGCCACCTGGGGCCTTGGGGCCCCTCCTCCTCCCATCAACCATTTGGAAGGTGAGGAGGACCATTCCTAGGGCTGTAGAAGGGAGGGATCCACTATCAGCCCCTATATTCCAGTCTGAGATGTAGCTGCAGGGTCAGGCTGAAGCCGGAGCACAGGCACAGGCTTACACACAGGCTAAGGCGGTCTGAGGGTGTGGGTGCCTATCTCTTGCTAAACTCTGTACGCACCTATGATGCAGCCCCACCCTTGTGAGCTGCACACTCCAGAGCAAAAGCCTGGAGCCCGGCTTAGTCTGAGAACTGGGTCACCTCTGCATCTTTCCTGGGCAGGATTCCAGAAACAGTCAGCCACACTGTCATCTGGGAAGGAGCCTTACCTGTGGGGGAGGGGAGTAGATAGCCACAGGGCGCAAGACTGGCTGAGAAAGGCAAAGGTAAGAGAGAGAAATCCCTGGCTCACCAGGCCAGTCTCTTACCCTGCTGTCCATGAAGAATTACAGGCTAGCAGGCTAGCCAGTGCCCAGCTGCATACATTTCCCTCCAGCACATTTCACTGTTGTCTCACCCTGCCACCCTGTAGGCCAGGTGTGGCTGCAGCTGGGGTGGCCCGACTTTGCTCCCATTCTTTTACAGATGGGAAAAAAAAAGAAAAAAGAAGAAAACTGTGTGTAAATTTCCCATTCTGGCTCTGAAATACACTCCCTGTTCTGCCTCTCTGGGATGCAGAGAAGAGCAGTCAAGGGGCCTGACTTGGCCTGCAGCAAGTTGACTACCCCAAGATGCACATCTTTGACCCTGGCTGCCTTGAATAGACCCGGCTCTGAAACCATCCCAAGAATGTCTGTCAAACATTTTCTTAGGTCCCTCTAAAGGCCCCTGCAAAACAGGACTGTGCCATGTGGCCTTTCCCCTGATTTTGCAACCACAGAGTGCACAAACCTACACCCACTCTCATACCTCTACCAAGTGTTTCCAAGAAGAATGCTGTCTGTGAGGTGAGGCCATCTGGGAACTTCTCTCTTCCTTTTCATTCATAAGATTCCTACCAACCACGTCGGGTTAGGACACTGGTATCCTGGCCACAGTTTCCCCTTGTCAAGTGGCCTCTTTGCTTGGCCCAGATGACACATTTTCTCATTTGTATCAGATCCAATTACTATTTGAAATGCAATATTTGATTTCCAAGTAAACCACATGCACACACTCACACACTTTTAGGAGGCCTTTATTAAAAATTAACAAAGTCCTTGGCCATTGAGTTTGCAATTACCTTGTCCCTAGTTGCCTCCAGCAAATTTAAGAATTGCAAACTCCAAGAAAGAGTACAGCCTGGGGCAGAAATCAGCCCCTACTCTCCGGGTGGCAGGAACCTGAGCAGCCCCTCCTAAACTACTGCCCCAGGATCTGCGCTGAGGCCGGGTACAACCAGGTCTCAGGAGGGAAAGAGATCTGTGAGGACGGCGTGGTGGTGGTGGTGGTGGTGGGGTGGATCACACCGGGCATCCACTTGGCAAGAGTCAGAGCGCCCAATGGAGGGCGATTCGGTTGAGTAGATGGGGGAAATTCTGCAGATTTTTTCGAACCCAGATTCACATTTCCTGCGGGAACAGCTCTTTAAAGGACTGGCGAAGGTGTTTGTAAACAATAAAAGTGCAATTCAAAGGTTGCCGCTGGGGGTGAAAACGTCAGGGTTTAAGGAGGAGGTCCTGAGGCCCTCACCGCCGGAAAGGTCGCAGGCCAACGAATGTGAATGAAGTTTTTGCGGTCGTCCAGTAGGAGCCGTGCCCCCTAGTTTTAGGGGTGACAGGTGAAAGCGACGCAGGAATGAGGATGGATGGCAGTCTTGGGCCGTGTAGGATTAAATCGTCCCCGGCGGCTCCGACAGTGAGGCTGGGGGAGGGGGTACCGCGCGACCCTGAGCCCCGGGCCGCCGGGACCGAGATCTGGGCCGATCCAGTGCCACCAGCGCCGCCTCTCGGAGAAAGGCGGGGGCCAGAGGGGGAGTGAGAGGAGGCGGAGGGCGGAGGAGGGCGGCGCGCCGAGAGGTTATTTGTGGTTCGCTTTGATCCCGAGGGGGAACCTGAAACTCTCACATTCCTGGCATAGCTGCCGCCTCCACCGCGGACCGACCCTGGGGCTGCGCGCTGGGGCGCGAGCAGCCAGAGCGTCGGCGCTGCTGCGGAGTGCGCACCTCCGCCGCTGAGCCGAGCTGGGCGAGCAGGGCTGGGACGTCCAGGCTGAGCGAGCCAGGCACCCGCGGCCCGCAGCGGTAAGCAGGGCCGCTTCGCACTCCACAGGGTCGCTGCCTGCGAGTGCCCGGGAACCCGCGCCTGGCCTGTCTAGAAGCCAGAGCTCGGCGCTGAGCACTCGTCCTCTGGGTGCATTGTGCGCTTTCGAGGTGGCTGCCGCGGCAAGCGAGGGCCGCTTTCCTAGGGAGTACCGTGCGGTGCGCTTGGGGCTGGAGTCTGGAAGGCTCGCAGGTCCCCCGGGGCTGGAGAGCCCCCTCGGAGGGGGCAGATTCAGAGAGCGCAGGGAGGTTTCGGACTGTGGGTCGCGCTTGGGGGGCGTGGAACGCGGCTGCAGGCGCCTCGTGGGGTTCAGGCCGTAGGGCCAGGGCCCTCGTAACTAATTTGGCTAGGCGGGGGTGGGGTACAGGTGTCTTGTGTCCCCCACTGGTCCAAGAATTCCTCTTTGTCTTCCTCGGAAAATCCTCTCTGGAGCCACGAACTGGCTCTCACTTAGAAAGAATGCAGCCTGCTGTCCAGTCCGGTGACGTCAGCGCTGGAGTATTTGGAAAACAAAGAGAGCTGGGAGGGAGCGAGGGAGGTGGACCCGCGACGCTTAAAGACCTCTCCCGGCCGCGGACTACCCTCCCTAGCTCGCCCGATGTGTACTGGCGTCTGCCGGGGCTCCGAGCCGCCCCAGATCGAGGCAGGGCGGGACCCTTGGCCGGTGTGATCTGATTTGGACACTATCTGTGGTTCCTTCGGCGAGCGCGAGCACAGGCGAGCCTGGAGGTCCGCGCTTGCTTGGCAAGGTGGTTTTCAGAGGGCGCAGCGCGCTCCCTCGGTAGAGGCGCACTGCTCTGGTAAGGGAAACCGAGTTTAATAACGGCTCAGACCTCCGGTATCTGAAAGATTGTGGATTTCAGGGACTTGACTTAGACAGATTTGCGACGAGAGGCCTTGGGGACTTGCCTATCTATCCGCCAGTCCTGGCACACTGTTGGCGCGCCTGGAATCTCTCCGGAAGGTTCTGCATTCTTTCTCGCCGCTCGCGTATCCTCCTCAGCAGGAGTCAGCTCAGACAGTGATTAACTTAGGAAATGCCCCGCAGATGAAACTCCGTGCGAGTTGACTCCTGGTTGTTTGTTTTGCCCCTGGTACTGGAGTATGGGGGGGGGGCGATGATCGCGTGCAGGCTCGTCCCCACCCCCCACCCCATCTGGGCAGCTGGAGGCCTGGGAGTGGCAGAGTGGATTGGGCATGGCTGCTATGCCAACATGCCAAGCCCAAATGCAGGCAGAGCACCAGGGCTAGTTCTGTGGCAGAGAAGAGGCCACATTCCCCGCTCCCTACACCTTTATACACACAGGGTCTATGGCAGCGTGGATTTTGCTTTGTTCTTCCCTGGATCTCTGGTTTAGAGCGTTATGTTGGCGGAAGCTATGGAAATGAAGCTAGCTGAGGGAGGTGGGCAGTTTCCCAGGCCACGAGCCATTGGGAGCCCAGGCGTAGAAGGGAGCCACTTCCTTGGATATGGTCTCCCCAAATCTTAGGCTCACAGTTCTTATGCTTCAGACCTGTAAGGTTGTTACTGATGTTAAGAAAGATACTGAGCGTCCATCCTGCATGTTGCTAGTGGGCTTTTCCAGGTAGCAAGTGTGTGCAGAGTGGGGATAATCATAATTAGAACGACATGCCCTTCTTTCTCCTGGCTTATGTGCTGTTTCTGTGAGCACTCTAGATGCTGGCTTGCTAGCCCTTTGCCTCAACTCACAAAATCATTGTCCTATTGTATGCGACTTTGCTTCTTTTCATCCCTTTTCACCAATTCAGATGCAGTTTCTACCTCTTCTCGTTCACTTTGCACAAGAACTGGCAAGGTCACCCACAACAGGGAGTGCCAGGCTCATTTTATAAGCAACCTTTGATTAAGCGATGCCGAGGGGGCTATCCTCCAGGAGTCCTCTGGGTCAGAAAGAGCAAGAGGAGCCAGTAGACTGCTCGTGGGAACAGAGGGAAGTACACTGTATCAAGGCTGGCCACAAGGCATCTTCATTCTGTCTGGGAGCTGTCTGCCCATGCTCCTATGAGATTAGTTCATTTATCTCGAGGTTAGTTCATTCTTTAAATGGGGACCCTGATGATTTCTGGTCTGGACAGCTGAGTGGTTAGATCTGAGCTAAGCTGGTCATGGAGTCATCCATGAAGATGTTTGCTGGGTGGCTGACTTCAAGGGGCTGTGGTTTCTGTTAGATTACTTTCTGGTTTGCTGTCATAATTCTCTAGGATTAGTAAGTCTCCATGAATGTCATTACAATGATAATCACCTGCCAAGGATTTACAGTTTATCAGGAGCTCAACAGTTATTGTGTCTTTTAAAGCCCGATCTTGTGACAAGAAGTAGCATGCTTTTTTAAAATGGAGAAACTGAGACTTGGAGGTTAAGTAATTTAATTAATGGGGGCAGCATTGGTAGTTGAACCCTCGATTGTGTGAAACCCACTATCCCAGCCTTCCTCTGGACCACTGATGCTTGCACCTGGACTGTTATGGAAGATTGTCCCCTTTCTCATGTGCTTCCATTGATTTCTCTTCCTCTTTTTCTGTCTCTCTTTCTCCCTACAGGTGCTCTGGGTTCAGGTGCCTGCTGGCCATTGCCTAGGAAGGTGTCTGTAAGCCAAAGAAGCATGAGGACGCTGGAAGACTCTTCTGGGACAGTCCTACACCGCCTCATCCAGGAGCAGCTACGCTATGGCAACCTGACAGAGACACGCACGCTGCTGGCCATACAGCAGCAGGCCCTGCGGGGTGGGGCTGGAGCTGGGGGCACTGGGAGCCCACAGGCCTCCCTGGAAATCTTGGCACCTGAGGATGGTCAGGTGCTACAACAGGCCACCAGGCAGGAGCCCCAGGGCCAGGAGCACCAGGGTGGTGAGACACACCTGGCAGAGAACACCCTCTACCGGCTGTGCCCGCAGCCCAACAAGGGTGAGGAGCTGCCTACCTATGAGGAGGCCAAAGCCCACTCGCAGTACTATGCAGCCCAGCAGGCAGGGCCCCGGCCACACGTCGCAGAACGGGATCCTCGTGGGGCCCCAGGAGGTAGCCGCCGGCAGGACGAGGCCCTTCGGGAGCTGAGGCACGGCCATGTGCGCTCGCTGAGTGAACGGCTCCTGCAGCTGTCCCTGGAGAGGAACGGTGCTCGAGTACCCAACCACATGAGCTCTTCTCACAGCTTCCCCCAGCTGGCTCGAAGCCAGCAGGGCCCGCCAGCCCGGGGTCCTCCCGCTGAGGCCCAGGAGCCCCGTGGACCCCCATCGCAGTACCCACACGTTGTACTCCCTCATGAGACTACTGCTGTCATTGACCCACGGTACCGTGCTCGAGGCAGCCCGCACTTCCAGCATGCTGAAGTCAGGTAACTACATCCACTGTGGCCTTCAAGCTTTCCTGCAGTGTAGTGTCCTGGAGAGGGAAGCCTCAGTCTCCTCTCCTGGCAAGGAATCCAAGCCAACAAGATCTCTATGGTTCTCCATCCCTCCTAACTTCAGAGGCTGTCTAATAAAACCTAACCCCCTCTTTCCTTGAAAGGAGAGCTGAAGGCTGGCAGAAAGGGGGGCTTAACCTAGATCACAAAGAAGTCAGCATCATCGCTTTGGTTCAGCAGTAGACACTACTGCCTGCTTAGGAGGAGTGTCAAGTAACTAGGGTCCTAGGAGATAGGATTTGTAGCAAGGATTGGAGGTCAGATTGCAGAAGGAACTTTCAAAAGACAAAGAATGAGAGCTGTTACCTTACTGCTCCCAGGTAGAAAGAAGATGTGTGACCTCCCTGGAGATTTTGGTTTTGATTCAGTAGACTGAAGAACCAGGTGCCTGCCCTAGAGACCACTCTTTGTCAGAGCTGTCCTGTAGCTACTGTTCATTTTCTTTTATGTTTTTCCATGTGCCTGTAGCTAGTAGTACAAGAAGAGGCTGGGTCCAGGTGAACTCCTTTCTGTGGAGGCTCAGGAGAGATTGTTAGTGTGATTCTTTGAGTACGAAGGGAAGCCATGAGAGGATGACAAGGCTGATAGTGGCTGCCTGTAGAGAAAGGGATCGGAAGGCCTGAATAGAAGAAAGGGACTGGGAAGGAGGAAACCATAATATTGCAGAACTGTGGGTTCCCGGATGAGACTCTGCCTCCATCACCCCTCACTCAGGCTCAGCACCTTCTACAGAGAGGCTGATGCATCCATCACGGTTGCATCTTCCCTTGGGGGCATCCAGGGGCCCCCACAAGAGGGGCCGTGGATTCCTTGAACTCCCTGCTGCGGCTCAGGGTCTGATTCTCTTCACCCTTCCTGAGTCTTCATTTAGTCATTCACCTTCCCACCGTTTGGCCTCTTCTGAGGAAGATGCCTTTCCTTGCTCTCAAGAAATGAGTAAGTAGTGTGACAGCGTCAGTGTGGAGGAGCCCGGGGGTGAGGCCTCATGGGCTTGGTCCAGCTCCAAGCCCTCCAGATTCCCACTTCATCTCTCTTTTCAGGAGTGGTCAGGAACAGTTGTGGAAGCCGAGTTGTAGTTTCTTCTTTTGGACCAGCCCTGGTGAACCCTGTCAGGAAGTGATAATATGGCAGGGAAGTAGACTTCAATGCAGAACAAACAGGGAAGCCGGGGGAGCCAGGGAAAGGGAAAGCAACTGTGGCAGGAAAGGAGATGCTATTCTTCCTTGCAGCTAAGTCATCCTCAAAGAATGTTGCTGTGTCTGCCTGGCCCCATGCAGGGGCAGCAGGTTTCAGAAGCTACCCTGAGAATGGCCACATTAGCTGAGAAGGCAGTTTGGACATTCCACGGGGCTCTGCCCAGCTGTCACCCAGAGCCTTACTTTAGGTGGCAGGGAAATGCACCTGCTGCTTTCCCTTTTGGCTGACAAATGAAGACTGTTGGGTGTCAGGGACAGGGACGTGAGCCTAGGGTCTTAATGAGAACAGAGGGAGCCCTAGGCTGTAAGAGTGGTGTGGGTGCCGAGCAGATGGGCCCAGGAGTGGCACTCAGTTTGTACGGGCTTCCAAAAAAGAAAACTTCTTTATGAAATGAAAGCAGTGGTGACGTTTAGAGTCATAAGACCCTTCAAAGGCCCTGTGACTTCCCGTGTCTCTGTCTTTGCTCCTTCCTTCAACCCAGAGCCTACCTGTTATACCTGTGCCAGGATCCACTTGAACTCTGCAGTGTGCTACCCCAAAGGTGGTCTCATACTTCACACTTGGAGTCCACCCAGGTCCTTGAAGAGCTGAGCTGCCCTGCATTCCCCAGCTCTTACTTGTGAGGCTGGAGACCCCCTTGATACAGCGGCCGGATGGCCACACTGGGTGTGAGACCCTTGCTGTAGGTCTAACAGCTGGAGCTGGGATTTGAACCTTTATGCAGCACGCTGTTAACCTGACATCTGTCTTACTGCTGTCACCTTAACCACAGCCCTTTAAGAACATTTTGGGAGTTGGGGGGATGGGTATCAGACCTGGAGAGTGGGCAAAAACGAGTGTGCTGCTTCACTGGACCTGTAACAGACACAAAGTAGCTGCTGGGTGCATCCACCCAGCTGTCCTGGAACTTTGGAAGGCTCTTGATTTAGTTATGGGTTTAGTTTAGGCTCTTGGTTAGCTTCTAGGACCAAAAAGAAACTTCTGTTGTTTAGAAAGCTCAAGGGTGCGTGTTTTAAAATGTCTTATTGGAGCAGTGGTTCCTGTGAAGCCTACCCACGCTGGCTTAGGGTGATTCCCAAGGCCTTAACCCTGGTGACGCAGGGCATGACATCTTGACATTTGTCCCCTGCAGCCCAGCTATCTGGCCCTTGAATCTTGGGGAGCCTTGGGCAGCCACCATTTGGGAAGGGACCTTTCCACTGGTCAGTAACACTGGAGAGGCAGAAACCGGAGTGAACAGTGTGTTAATATTAGCTGTGGGGGTCTGTGAGCTCTCTGAGTGTCTTGTCTTCTATTCCCCAGGATCCTGCAGGCCCAGGTACCTCCTGTGTTTCTCCAGCAGCAGCAGCAACAGTACCAGTACCTGCAGCACCCCCAAGAGCACACTACACCCCCACATTCGGCTGTTCTCAGTCATGGCCCACTGGCGTTGGAGGGCCCAGCAAGTGCCCAGGCCTCCTCAGCCACATCAGGGAGCGCCCACCTGGCCCATATGGAGACTGTGTTGAGGGAGAATGCTAGGCTGCAGAGGGAGAATGAGAGGCTGCAGAAGGAGCTGGAGAGCTCTGCAGAAAAAGGGAGCCGCATTGAAAAGGTAGGCTTTCCGGGATCCCAGATGGGGTGGGAGAGCAGGGCCCTCCAGGGGCTGATGGAAGAGTGGGGAGGCAGAGGAGTGTGAGAGCCAGCATCTTGCTGGATTTCTCTTTCTTGATCACCTCCATCCCCCATCATTCCTCCTGCACCTCCCCAGCTGACTCCAGACAGCTGGGGAACAGCCGAAAGGCCGCCAGAACAGGCCTGGAGCATGAGCAGTTGCTGGCCAGTGGCAGTTAGAAAGAACTCATTCACCAGGTCCCTGCTCACTCACACCCTGGCCCTGCACATGGCCCCTCCCTTGGACACCTCCCACAGAGAGCTCTTTGTGTCCCCCACACAACAGCCCGTCTGTTCCAGGCCAAAGAGAAAGTCCCTCCTCTTGGGGGGAAAAAAAAGTGACTTGTTGGCATGGCAAGCCAGCTAGGAGCACGTGTGGGACCTGCAGCAGCCAAGTGGGAGGGGCAGTTGGGACCAGGGTGGCCCTCATCGTGGACAGTGGCAGATGGGGAAACAGAGACTCCAGACAGCTACTTGGGCTTAGGTCTGGGGCTCCCTTCTTTGGTGCAGGCTTACAGTTGTGAGCTGAGTTTAAGCTTTTAGCAGGTAGACTCAGGGCCTGCCCATCATGCTGGGTATGGGTCAGACCACCCAGAACATGACCACGCTGGCCCTCTTGGGCTCAGATTTCTCAGCAAACACCAGCCAAAAGTAAACTGCTGCTCTCTGGACAGCGGCCACAGAAAAGCTGTGTGCAGTTGCCCTGGAGGCAGCCTCTTGCTGAGTTCCTGGCCAGGGTACAGTCAGCATCTGGTCCATGGGGCAGCAAATGGGACCCCTGCCTGGTCTCAGCAATCTGGCCTTTCTCAGGAGGCTGCAGGCTCCTGACCATCCCACTAGATCCACTTAGGTTTCATGCTCCCTTGTTTTTCCTCTCTTCTCCCTTTTTTTTGGTATGGAGTGGCAGATCCACCTGGGATCACTCCCTAGGAGCCCTGTCCCTCCTTCAGCTCTGCTTGTGCTTCTTGCAGCTGGAGAGTGAAATCCAGCGGCTCTCTGAAGCTCATGAGAGCCTCACCAGAGCCTCTTCTAAGCGTGAAGCCCTGGAGAAGACCATGCGGAATAAGATGGACAGTGAGATGAGGCGGTTGCAGGACTTCAACCGCGATCTTAGAGGTGAGAACTGGGCACTCAGGTGAAGGCTGTGACCATCTGCAGAGCTTTGCTGTTGGAGGGGAAAATCTCAAATCTCTGTTCTCTGCAAACTTAAGTGCACATTGACTGCAAGGCTGGGCTGAGTCTCTCTGGGGGACACCATGATACAGAGATGCTTGTCTCTGTGTCCTGGGCCTTGGAGCACCTCAAGGAGTCCCCAGCATGTCCCAACAAAGGGTGTTTCCTCCTGGTTGGCTAAGTTGGGCCTTCCTATGAGCCTACCTCCAGCTTGGAGGATGCAGCCCCATCAACGGTGCCCCAGGGAAAACTCCAGGCAGGTAACATCATCAGACACTAAATAAAATATCTATCCTTCATTTGAAACAGAGAGATTGGAATCTGCAAACCGCCGCCTGGCAAGCAAGACACAGGAGGCCCAGGCGGGTAGTCAAGATACGGTGGCCAAGCTGCTTGCTCAGAGTGAGTAAGGGTCCTGCTAAGAAGGAGACCTCAGTGGTCCCTCTGGACAATGGGGTGGTCCTCTCCCTTGGAAGCAGAGCTATAGACAGAGGTTTACTGAATGGCTACTTCATGCCCAACACCAAACTAGACCTGGGGGTTGGGGTGTGGCTTCCAAAAGGGAGTAAGATCTGGTTCTGTATTTGTTGGAAAAGCAGTTGATACATGCTGGAGAGCTGAGAGGTGGTGATTGGCTGAGCTGTGATGCTGACCATCAGTGCAGGGTTGTCTGCTGTAGAGTGAATGCAGGTGGGGGCGGGGCTGGAAACTGGGAGAATGAAGAATCAGAGTTTCCTGGGGAGTCCAGGCCACAGAAAGGCTGGAAATGGTAATATGAGATGCTGGGAAACCTAGTGGTGCTGGGCTATAGCAAAGCTACCAACAATCCAAAGAAGGGGCTCAGGAGGCTTCTCTAAAGGGGGATTCAAGGTCATTCTTGAAGGACAGATGAGTTCACTGTCTGGTCCACTCCTCCCTCCTTCTCTCATCCATTTGTTCTTTAGACTTGGGCTAAGCACCTGGCAAGCATTTTAGCAGAGGGAGAAAACAGGCCCAGGAAATGCAAAGAAGGTCAAGAAAACAGGGAGGAGCATGAAACAGAAGCATGCCATCAAGAGTGTTCCGTGACCCCAGAGACTAGTAATGAGGAGGTCTTTGGTGGCCTGGGAGACCTGTGGGGCTAGGGGGATTGAGAGCAATTAGATGGCTCCAGTGGAGGGGCATGGAGGGGCTGGGGGCACAGACGGGATCCTGAGCTCAGCAGCAAGAAGAGTCCCACAGGGTGGGAATGGTTGGTTTCTGGGTAAGATGGCTTTAGGAAGGAACCCATCAGAAAACCTATTGTGAGTGGTACTGAGTGCCCAGAAGCAGCGTGATGGCCCAGTCTGACTGGCATCACCCCTTCTTCCTTCCAAGAGGACTCAACCCCCTCAGTACCTGCAGGGGTTGGCGATGGGGCAACAAAGACCAAGGGAGATTGACAAGGTTGGCAGGAAGAGGTAGGCTAGCCTGGCCTGGCTGAATAAGGTGCTCCCCCCCCTCCCTCCTCTCACCAAGAGTCCCTGAAAGGGACGATGGAGGGCCAGTGCAGCTCTGGAAGTTACCTTAGGGATCTGAAAGCTGCAGCTGGTCTGCTAGGCATTTGGGGGGGTTGCTCTGCGGGGGGGGGGGGCAGGGCTTTTAGGGCCTGAATGCCAAAGAAAGGAAGTGAAGGGGGGGCGGTTTCTGGAAGCCAGCGAAGGGGAGAGGAGGGTGAAGGGGAATGGGAGGAGGCTGTCCGGGAGGCGTTTCCGCTCCCTGGGGAGCGAGCAAGCGCCAGGCTGTTCTTGGCTTCTCGCTGGGGCCATTAATCTCGCAGGCAGCGGCGGGTGACCTGGATGCCTGGCATTCCTGAGCCGCCCGGCTGTTCCGCTCCCGGCCGGCCCCCCGCTGCTCCCGCCCCCGAAAGGCGCCCTTCGGCCCGCCGGGCTTTGGGAGGAGGCAGGGCAAGCACTACGGCAGACAGGGACTGGCTGTCTTCTTACGCGCCGCTCTCAAGCGGCCTACCGGCCTAGTGGCAGCAGAATCGTGGCCCCCAGCTCAGCCTCCCAGCTCTCACGGGGCACCTTAGAGGTTGTAGGAAGCTACAGGAAGCTTCTGCTAGCAGAAGGCTGGGTCCCCCTGCTAGCTCCACCGTCGAAGGCTAAGGGAGCTCCAGGAATTCTCAGGATGTCTGGTTGACCTTTTTTGTTCTTGATGTCAGGCAGCACCAGTACTTTGAGTGCAAGTGGGGATTCTGAAGGCTGATTACTCCCTCTCCTCCCTTGTTTTCTCACTTGGTGCCTCAGGTTCCTGGACTACAGTCTAGGGACAGTGTTCTGCTTCCTGGTTATGCTAACGCACAGATTCTGAGTCCAAAATTGCCTGCTCCCACCTCCCATTGACTGAATATTAAGGGTCCATTTCTTTATCATTACCCTTTCACATCTTTTCCCTCCATGCCAAAGAACAAAGCCAGCCAGCCTGCAGAGTTCCAGAGTAAGTCAGGGTTATCTCTGTGACCTCCCTTTCTTGCCCTGAGACAATGAATCCCCTTTCTGCCTGCTAAGGGGACTGTTGAGTATGACAGGTTCACACAAGGCCTGAAGATTAAAATAATTAACATCCAGTTCCTCAGCTTGCCACAGGCCAAGGTTGCAATAGCCAGTGAGTACTGTTTGGGTGGCACAGTACAGAATGATTTCTCTGTAACAGAAAAGTCTGCAGGATCGGAGTACTGCTCAGACACAGGTCCATGAGGGGGACCCCACAGCCTGTTCCTTTCCTTCTCTCCAGCAGAGCAGTCAGCCACTCCTCAGGGGACCAGTCTGAGACTTGTAGAAGGCAGGGCTTGGAGGTGAACTTAGCTTAGAGCTTGAGCTGAAGAACCTTGTGATTTGGAGAGTCTCTAAGTAGGGTTCTTTGGGCCTTTTTTATTTTTTGAGACAAGCTCTCAATACTGTAATTCACAGTGATCTTGAACTCGCTATGTAGCCCAGGCTGGCCTCAAATTCATCAGGATTCTCCTGCCTCGGCCTCCTCCTCAGTGCTGAGATTATAGGACATGTACTCCCATATCCAGTTTGCCGCTGGGCCATTAATAAGATTTAAAAGTCAGGATAGCTGGAATCTCAGACACTAATCTTTGGACCAGAGTCTTTCTCATACTGTGTTGTAGAGTTTACTTACATTCCTTCATGAGGTTGATTGAACAGAAGTGTGGCACTTAACGGGAATAGCCTGGGTTTACAGAAGAAACCCTGGAGCATGTACTGGGAGGGAGGCCTGTAGGGGCAGGCGTCCCACGCTGTAGGCAGTCAGGCAGCCTTCAGAATTGGGCCAACATGGGCTTGCCTTTGGCAGAAGCATCCATTCTCTTTTTAGGTTTCTTCCTCTATGGGGTGGGGTGAGGGCATAAATTCTACCTGGAGAGGCTGGAGGATTCGGGGAAATCAGAGGTGGGGCAGCACAAGGTGCTTCTTTTCGTCCTACCTTATCCTCCCACTAGAACGCTGACCACGTCACAGTGAACCTAAGCTTCGATGATTTTCTTATCTATAAATGGGAATCACAGTCCTCCCTGACTTCTAGTCATTCGAAGGCTCAAGGAAAGCAATGGCTGTATTTTGGAGATGGTGACACCTGGCACAATTAGCAGTGTCCCCACAGAGAGGTGGTGTGGCACAGTTGCTACCTCAAGGGTCCTGTTGCTCCCCCCCCCCTTCATTTCTTTCTCTCCTGAGACATACGGTTGAACACTGTAGCTAACTCCTAGGTTTCTAGCGGGTGAGAAGTTGTCAGTGCACAGCCTGGCAGGTGGAGCCAGTGAGGGTGGTCACCATCACTGACGAGGCCTCCTCCTGCCCGCAGGCTATGAGCAGCAACAGGAACAGGAGAAGCTGGAGCGCGAGATGGCGTTGCTGCGTGGGGCCATTGAGGACCAGCGGCGCCGGGCAGAGCTGCTGGAACAGGCTCTGGGCAACGCGCAGGGCCGGGCAGCACGTGCAGAGGAGGAGCTGCGCAAGAAGCAGGCCTACGTGGAGAAGGTGGAGCGGCTGCAGCAGGCACTTGGGCAGCTGCAGGCTGCCTGCGAGAAGCGGGAGCAGCTGGAGCTACGTCTTCGGACGCGCCTGGAGCAGGAGCTAAAGGCCCTACGCGCACAGCAGGTGAGCTGGGCAGGTCTGTGAGGGGACATAGAACTGGAGCAGCATCGAAGGGGCCGGCTTTCAGGACCCTTGGAGCCCCTGCTCAGACCTAGGTGCAGCACCTTCCCCCCCAGAGAAGCGAAGGTGATTGATCTGTGTCTCACCTTTGCTGCCTGCTTCTGTTCACCCACTTGTCACAGCAAGGACTTTGCTGCTTGGCTTGTATCCAGGCTTGGGAGTCACCTGTCCTCAGCAGTAGCACAGGTTGGCATCCTTGATATGTAGAAGCAGTAGGCTGCTGTTTTGTGTAAAAGACTGGCCAGTTGTCATCTAGCTCTCCATAGACTAGGTTAGTCCCTAGTCTATGTTCGCTTGGGCTTCTTTTTTTTTTTTGTCTTTTTCTTTTTTATCGGTACCAAGGATCGAACTCACGACTGCCTGCTTGCAAGGCAAGCCCTTACGCCGCTGAGCTAAATCCCCAGCCCCCTCGCTTGGGCTTCTATGTAAGCCTTTCTCAGTGTTTACAAACCAGATAGTTCTGTCTCCACTCCCACCCTGACCCTTCCCGCAGGGGTATTATGGAAGGCACTGCTGTTCCAGTCCAGAGAGTTTATTACAGGGCCTCCTGTGTACATGAGGTGTGCCCAACACCCCGGCCTCCATCTTGACATGATGCTTCTTGATCTGCAGAGACAGGCGGGCACCCCCAGTGCAGGCAGCAGCAACAGTGGGTCCCCAGAGCTCAGTGCTCTGCGGCTGTCAGAACAACTTCGGGAGAAGGAGGAGCAGATCCTGGCACTGGAGGCCGACATGACCAAGTGGGAGCAGAAGTATTTGGAAGAGCGTGCCATGAGACAGTTTGCCATGGATGCAGCTGCCACTGCAGCTGCCCAGCGTGACACCACTCTCATCCGACACTCCCCACAGCCCTCGCCCAGCAGCAGCTTCAATGAGGGACTACTGACTGGTGGCCATAGGCATCAGGAGATGGAAAGCAGGTTCGGCATGGCAGACAGGCCTGGGCCCCTAAGACACAGTGTCCAGCTTCTACCTTGTCCTTGATCCCCAGTAAACAAGTCCCTGTCCCCACTCAGCTCAGCAGTCTCTGCTTCACCTCTGTTCACCTCTGCTTCTGAGCTGACCCTGCTTACTTGGCACACCAAGAATTATAAGCATAGACTCTGGCTGTGCAGGTACTGGGGCATCTGGGTTCTACACCCCAGCCCTAGTATAGCCCTCCATGATGAGGGACATGTCTCTGCTATCTGTCATCAGTTCGTTCAGCTCCCACCCACTGCTGACCTGCTTAGGCAATGTGAGAAGGGCCTAGCACCCCATGTGCCCTGGCTCTGAGAGCATCAGCTCAACTCCAGGCCTGCATTGCAAGGGGAAGAAGGTCCCACTGGGCATTAGGGAGGGCTTTCAACTTCCACAAAGCGGGGAGGAGAGAGGCACTGACTCTGGGGCTGACCATATGGACATGGTCTCCTTCCTCAGGCTAAAGGTGCTCCACGCCCAGATCCTAGAGAAGGATGCTGTGATTAAGGTCCTTCAGCAGCGTTCCAGGAAGGACCCTAGCAGGGCTGCTCAGGGTTCCCTGCGGCCAGCCAAGTCGGTGCCATCCATCTTCCCAGTTGCAGTGGCAGGGACCCAGGGCTGGCAAGGACTCTCATCAAGTGAACGGCAAGCAGATGCTCCTGCCCGGCTGACCATGGGTAAGAAGGGGCTGGTAGTGTGGAGAGGGGAGTTTCTTTAGGGCGTGGGCACAGATTGCCAGATCTTTCCTCCCAGAACCAAGGCTCCTGGGAGACAGAACTTCCTGACTTGACTCCTTAGGAGTCTAGCTTTTGCTCTGGCGCAGTGGCCCTACAGCCTAGGATATCTTGCCTGGTGAAGAGTGTTAGTCCCATCTCCATGCATTCCGTCATCATAGACCCTCGCCACTGAACCATCCAAGTGAAAAAGGCAATATAAGGGGCTGGGGTAGGGTTCAGAAGCATTTAGCCTTAACAGAGTTGTAGGTCAGGAGGTGTCAGTAGGTCCAGTTCATTGGTGTATTCTTCATCCGGGCGCTATCTTGTAAGCCAGGCATTAATCAAACTCCTGCCTTCCCTACAGAGAGGACACCCACAGAGGAGCCAGTGGCTGCAGCCCCCCTCACTACGCACTCCAAACACGGGAGTAGAGATGGGAGCACCCAGACTGATGGCCCTGCGGAGAGCACCTCTGCTTACCTGGCACCGGAGCCCGACAGCCTTCCAGGCTGCAGCAGTGGGCTGAGGGCAGCCTCTCTGGGTGAGCCTCCACTTCTTCCTGACTTCTGTGCTGGGCGGTCTGCGGGTGTGCTGGGATGTGAGCCGGGACATTTGAGGCTCCTTCTCCCCAAACCCTTCCTGTTCACTGCTCATGTTTCATGGGGATTTCTGCATGGTGAGAGGTGAGGAGAGGTCTGGCTGGCCCCAATGTGAACATGAGAGCTGTTGGTGCATGAGTAGATGAGTTGGAAACTCCTAATCAAGATAGATCCCAAATTCAGAAGTACAGTGGCCCAGTGGAAGGCACTGTCTCTCCTCCTCCATCCTTTTCTTGCGTATTTCATTGTCAGTCTACATACCTAAGATACTGGAGCTTGTTGAGTCATCCCCCACGGCCCTGTGAGTTGGGAGACTGTTTAAAAGGAGTCCAAGAAGGAGAAATTTGAGAAGACGCCCTTTCTTCTTTTGCTCCCCCTTCACATTAGCTTCTGCATATTTGCCTGGGCCTCATGATCTCAGAAAGCCACAAGCATGAGAAGAATTCTGCAGCTTCCCTCCCTCTGGGCTCCCCTTGGCTTCTTTTAAGCCCTCTAGCTAGTCCAAAATCACAAACACGTCATCCACACTAGAGGGTGGTCTGGTCCGAGAGTTGAGAAGAAGCAGGGCATTATGCTTGGTTGACCAAATTGTGGGAACCTGGGCAGCCAAGGCACGGAAAGCTCGTGAAGATCTTTGTTTTAAAATTTTTTAAAGGGCAAGAATTTTAAAAACAGCAGTCTAGTGACACTCATGGCATGTACCTGCTTTCTTATCTCTCTCTCTCTCTCTCCCTCTCTCCAGACTCTATAGCTACATCCAGAGTCCAGGATATGTCAGATATGGTGGAGATACTGATTTAAGGAGGTGGTTCTTTGTGGACCCTGGATCATGCTCTCCCCTCCTCTGCCACCCAGCCATTCCAGCAGCCCCCGACTGCAGGTTCCACTTTCTCCAACCTTTGACCATCCAGTCCCAGGAGCTCAGGAAGGAGTGCTGCAGGAGAGAGGGGAGCTGAAAGCAACCAGCACCCCTGGAGATTCCGCTCAAAGCTACATTCCACCTGTGCCCATGGAGAATGCAGATTCACGCTTTCCCTGCCGTTGGGGTAGCAACAGAAAGCCCAGAAGGTATCGAAGCCCCCTCTGCCTTGCCAGTTGACATTCAGGCAAGGAGGGGAAGGGGATATGTTGGCTTGGGGAGCTGATTCCCAAGGATGGTTGCCCATGGGCACCAAGTGGGGTGACCAGGCCAGCCATGGTTTTTCTGGTTAAGTGTGATTCCTGTCAACCTCATCCACTCTTCAGCTCCTCAGTGCCTTCTTGGGAACACAAGACTTGAATCTTTTAGGGACTGTTGAGGGTGTGAATCTCTCAGAAAAGTCCCAGCTTCACCCCTCCCTTGGAATGGGTTGGGACTATTCGAGTGGATTGGGGGACAATGTGTGGTTTGTATATAATTCCCTTTCTTATGGCACAGAAGATGGTGGCATCTTGCTTGGTTCAGGTTGGGCTTCATGGGCCACGCTCACTTCTGTGCTACCATGCTTTCTGAAACTTTTGACTGGCTTCCCAGTTACTCCGCCTTCTCAAGTCCTTGGTCCATGAAGTCTGATTCATGGGATAATGGTTCTTTTTGTATGTGAAGACCCTGTCTTAAATGCTCATAGGATCTCCATCACTGGCCTTTTGAAGCTTCTGTCCCTGGGACATCCTATCATTTTGATGATAAACTCTGAGCCACATGAAATGAGCCACCACACACAGACATCTGCCGTGCCCGCCCATGTACGTGGCTGGCCCTGCCCAGCGCCATTTCTCTCTGAGGAAACTGGAGAAGTTGTGTTCTCATACATGTCTTTGTTCCCACCTGGAGGGACAGGGAAAGGGAACGCTGCTGTTCAAAACTAGTCAATTAGCTGCAAGACGTAACTCATATCATCCTCTGAGTGGAGCCTATATCAAAACAAAACATCCCCTGTGAGGCTGGCTCCTCAAGCTACCCAGCCCCAGTACTGAAGCCGGGCCAAATACTCAGAACAAGATGAAGGTCTCCCACCTGGCAGCCTGCAGCCACCGTGACTGACTTCTTAAAGTCTTGTAATTCAGCCCCAGGAGCAAGTGGGTGGGTTTTAGCAGTTTTGTCCTTAATGGTTTCTAGTTTTCCTCCAATCTTCGTTGTTGTGTGTTTTTCTTCACTGTTTGGAGATTCATTATGTGTTGTTTTATTCTCATGGTTCCCTGAATTTCCTCTTTAAACATTTGCATTTGCTGGACAATTGCATATTTTTTTTAAATTCCCCTTACCCCAGTTTAAAGCTGAAAAATACATTTGGTTCATGTGCATTGTTTACAAAACAAAAAGAAGAAAAAAAGGCAAAAAAAAATATTGTGAAAGGTGAAAAAAAACAACTTAATATATTTTGGATTAATATTTGGTATTTCTTTTAAAGTATTTTTTGTGCTGTGAATGTTTTCTGCCAAAGACCATGATGTGTGTCTATATGTTTAAGTTATCATAAATATTTAAAATGTAAACATGGCTGTTTTGTTATGCCACCCTGTACCAGGACTGCTGCTGCATTCCACTGGGTATAACAGTATTTTAATAAAAAAATTATTACGAGTGGTGTCTTTGCATGGGTGAGACTGTTTGCACTGACAGAAGGAAAGAACTGAGGGTCCTGCCCAGTCTCTTCAAGGATCCAAGGCACCTCAGCCCTCAGCCTCTGTGAAGCTACTTTAAGGAGAGTTGGAATGAGGGCACAGTTGCTTTTCTGAGAAAACATTTCTCAAGTTAGGAGAGAAAAGGCATGGTAAATAGCAGCCTCCCAGCCTCATCAACTTTGTCCAAACACTTTGACCACTACGCAGTGTGAGTGGATGTCCAAATGTGATATTATCCTTGTCCTGTCCTCCCCGCCAGCATGCAAGCTTTTCCCCTGACCTCTCAAGCCACTGGGCACCATGCGTGTTTTGCCTGGACAGGTGCAGAGGCATGTTCCTGTGCACGTCTCTTGGGCTGTAGCATCACCACTCTTTCCTGATGCTCAGGAAGGCTGCTATTCAAAGGAGAAAATGAGTCTCGATCTTGAATATCAGTCAAGATGCGGGTGGACAGTCAAAGCTGACTGTGAGGCAGGCTAGGAAGCAAATATTAGCAAATTAGCCCTATGAGCATAGGTGACGATCTTAAGAGCAGCAGCCGTGTTACTGAGTGAACAAGCTGGTACTCTAGAGAAGGTGTCCCCTGTGACAGCATTCATAGAAATGGAGGTTTAACAGATGGAAGACTTCCAGCAACTCTGCACATGGCAGTGGGTCTTACTGAATGGAGTGCTCAGCCAGCTCCCAAGCTTGCCTCCTGCTGCCTGGGCAGCTCCCACTGAGCCCTGGGCTGAGGGTTCAGCTGAGATGCAAAATGTTTCCTGTGTGTTTCCTTCGCACCCCCAAGTTCTTGTGCCTATTCCCTACTGGTTCTCTGCTAGGATATCCAAAACAAAATGCAGTGACTATGGCAGAGGATTCCAAAGCACTGACAGTAAGTAAAGAACTTCCTCTTGAGCTTCCCCTGACCCTGAGTGCCACCAGGGAGAGGAGTGTCACAGACACAGGAGCAGCAAACTGACGAGAGCTCCATCCCACTCCAGCACTTTAGGTCAGCGCCTTTCAAAGTGTCTGCATTCTGTTCCATTTACCCGTCAAGCCATCTCAGTATATTTCCTTGGCACAGACGGGGTGTGAAGAAACTGATTCCCTTGTGTACATGTTTGCGTATTTGTGCGTACACTTGCTTCACATTGTGCGTACACTTGCCTCATCGTGTGTCCCAGAAAAAGGTTCAAGGCGAACCAATATGTTCCAGCCAGTGTCCCTACAAGGCACAGGGGCTCTTCAGCCACGTGGTACCCACTTGGTCATCTCAACAGAAGACAGCTGGTTGCTCCGTGCATTTGAAAGTGCAGTTTAACCATACTCCAGAACCGGGGGGGAGCTGCAGACTGGCAGGACTGGGCAGGGCTTGGCGAGGGAGGTGTTTGTCCCAGGTGTCTGGACACCTGTGAAGGAATGGGGCCCAAACCAGAGCCTGAATGGCTCATCTTGGTCCTTCGGAGGCCAAGTTCCTCTCTAGGGGAAGGGGAAAGAGGCCTAACCTGCCGCTCTACCAGTTCCAAGGTAGCCCATGAACTCTGAATGGCTATTCCAGCCCCTTTCCTATCTTTCACCTCCTGGTTAATTGTTAATTAGTCTCCTGGCTTGCATAAGTGCCTGGGCACATAGAGCTTGTAAAAATAGCTAAGATAAGGGCAGCAAATCAGGGCCCAATCATCCAGAGATAACCAAAGCCACTTCACTGCCCCCAAGGACTGCAGCTGCCTTCTCTCCTAGCACACGTGAATACTTGTTCCTGAACAGCCCTTGGTGCATGGAGCTGAGCTCTTTGGAGCTAGTACAGAAACCCCAGCAATACACAGTGCCTTCCGGGACCCATTGTGTCTGTATCCAACACCTGCAGAAAGGGGCACAGTAACAATGAGAGGGTTCACATGCTATTGATTTACTCTTCCCCAGTGTGTGATTGATCAAGTGGTATTTTACACCACGTCACCACTTTAAGCCAGTGGTCAATCATGGGTTATCACCAAATGCCCCCCTGATGAGTTATATGGACACCATTCTCAGTGGTGTCCATATAATTCATATTTGACCCGGTGCATTCACACCTGTCGGGCTGTCATTTTCTGGGATGACACTTGCAGCTAACTTTCTGTAGCTCCAGCCTTCTTCCACCACCTTGGGCCTAGCAGCTCAACTGTATCTCTCCTGAGCTGCAGAGAACACATCTGTTCTGAACTAAAGTCTTCCACTACCCAACGTCCAGGGCTGCCAGGCAAGGGTCCTGATCAGGAGTTTGGAAAGGAGGCCAGTGAACTCTAAACCTCAAGATGCCTACTGTTTGCTCACAGTTTTCCAGAGTCAAAGGTCATAGGGGTCCAGCTCTGTGAGACCCGAAGCTTAAAAATTGGGCATGGCAATGTCTTCTTACCAATGGCTCCTTTTCAACTAAGCAAAGCCTCAGACTAACATCCACATACAAAGTGTCCCTTAGTCAACAAGCGCCATCTTCCGTAAAAGAAAGAATGCAAAAGGTTGACTATGAAATTAGTTCTAGAGTCTTATGAGAGGGCTGTGCAAGGGAGAGCTTCAAGGCATGAGCTCTGTTAAGCTTCACAGTAAATTTGCATCTGAGTATTGAGCATCACGGCTGCCAAAGGAATGAAGCTCTAGGAGGTACCATAGCTTGGTTTTCCCCCCTCCTTTCCCAGGTGAGGTTGATGCTGCAGTTCAATGAAGGTTTTATTTCTGGGCACCTGGTGGGAGGAGGTCACCATGGAGCCTGCACAGCCAGGCTGCACAGCTTGTGAAGGCCCAGACCTGCAGCTGGTAAATGCCTGCACCCTGCCTTCACAGATTAAGCAAACCTCCAGCCCCCAGCAGGAGTGGACGGGAGGCACCTGGACATCATCACTTGGCTGTGGTAGGAATGGTTCTCCTCTCCCCCAACAGCCATCAGCTTTCCATTATGAGCAAGCCAAATGCCATGATCTGTGCTCATCAAATGCTTCTCACAAGTCCAAAGGCTCCTACCTGGGGACACATCCCAGGAGTGTTGGGAAATACCACCGTCACTTCCCTGCTCAGGTCTGCCTCTTGCAATCAGTCTGGACTTCTTCCCTAGCTCCCATAGCCCCACCTAGACTCTCCACCACAGCCTGTGCTTGTTCAACACGCTGTGCTGTGAAAGCCTCCTAGCAGATTGCATCAAAGGCAAAAGCATCCGCATTCCTACCAGAGTGACTAATTGCGCAAGCCACAGTGAAGGGCTGCCCTGGAAACGCAGTAACTTTTAATTTGAAGAAAAAGTGAAAGAAGCCTCTTCCCCAAGAGTTGTTGTCTAAGGTTTGAGTTCTATGCCTCAGTACAGCTTGGCTTCTCTTTCCTTCAACCTCTCTCTAAATGGCCTTGCTGTTGCTTGTTTATTCATTCATTTGTTGGTTCATTCATTGATTCATCTGTTTTACAGATGCCTACTGAATGTCTTTCATGCACCCAACATGTGACAATAACCAAGGATATGGTAAAAAAAAAAAAAAAGGCAAATTATGTGTCCAAACATCTTTATGACCCTATGATTTGATCTTTTTTTTATCGGTACCAAGGATCAAACTCAAGACTGTCTGCTTGCAAGGCAGGCACTTATGCCACTGAGCTAAATCCCCAGCCCCTAAGATTTTATCTTTACATCCTATGCCAATCCTAGCATGGCAGTATGGGAAGTATTGAATAAATGAATATTATTGTCCCCATCTCTTTTTCTGGTTCCAAATCCCCTCATTCTCTTGCACATGAGCTGCCACACAGTAACTGGTGGTTGGCTCCGAGCACACTGAAGCCTGCTCCCCTCCAAGTTCTTGTGCATGACATTGCTTTGCTCTAGAATAACTTTCTCCTCTTGCTTCTCTGCACCTTGAAGTTCTCTTCCTCCTGGCAGTCTCATCTCCTCAACTTCCTTTATGTTCCCAGAGGACCATGAGTGGCAAGAAAGATTATGCTTGCTGACTAAGGGACGCTTTGTATGTGAATGTTAGTCTGAGGCTCTGTTTAGTTGAAAAGGAGCCATCAGTAAGACATAACTAACCTTTTAAATTGTACTGAGATTTACTTCCTGTCCCTATGCTGCAGTTTCTGGTGGCCCTGAACACTACCTGGACAGTAACTCTTGAGGGTATTTTGACTAGAGGCCTAACACCCTCCTCCTTGGGCAGACTCCACCATTCCTCAGAGGTAGGACAGATGAAAGGGATTCTGGGTGGAGTCTTCGATCAGAGAAGGAGAAGCTGAGCTGCAGGCTTGGGTCGAGGTGAAGACAAGTGGATAAGCAGGTGGCTGTTGGTGTGTGAGCTCTGAATTGGCCCTGCGGCATGGCTGGCCCCTGAGTCAGGCCCGTGCACTGGCAGTCACGTGGGTTTGGACCAGCCCGGGCTTGGGAACAGAAGGCAGAACTAGAACTCTATCCATCCCAACAGCCACTCCTGAACTGGCCCTTCCAGTGCTTGTCGGGGGCAGGGGAAGGAACATTTTGTTATCAGGGCAGCAGTTCCCAGTGGCACTTGGGTTCCCAAAATAACTCAGAGGAGTTTAGACCAAGAGCCCAGGGATCAGAGCTCCACAGGACAAACCTCCACCCACTGCAGCCTCCAGTTAAGCCCAGGTGTCAAACTCCCTCTCCTTCCCAGCAGGCAGAAGTTCCACAGTCAGAGAGGACTCCTCAGAGGGAGAGGAGACTGTCGATGCCTTCTAGGGGTCAATGGAAGAGTTTATCTCCCAACCCTTGCCCCTCCTGTTCCCAAGTCACTGGGAAAGCAGGACCCCGCCTGTGCTGTGAGAAAGAACCAAGCTTCTCCTCTGTTAGCATCATATCTGGACTGGCAGCCTCGTTAAGACTTGTGTCCAAGACCGGTGCCACTTGCTGTAGCCCCAACACTAGTACCCCAAGGCCTTGATCCAGGGAGCAATGGAGTCAGGACAGGTGCCATGTGATTGAACTTTGATTGCCTCCATCCCATGTCTCATAGCAGATTTTCTCCCTCTCAGTCTCTTCTGCATGCACTCATTCAACAAATATTCACTGAACACCTGCTCTACAATCAGACACTACTCTGGCTACTGGGAAGACAGTGGGGGATAAAGCAGACACAATCCTTGCTGGCTCTGTGGAAGTCACTTTCAGGCGGGGGTTGGGTCAAGGGGCAAATAACAGGAAATTAAATAAACTCCACGGAGAGCATCAGATCAAGGATCCTTGGTGAAAAGACAGTTTATTTATTTTCTACTTCTGGGCCATGCCAAATTGCTCCAGAAGATTCTACGATGTCCACAAATTCGATGGTATGGAACCTTTCAAATGGATGCTTCTGGCTTCTGTTCTCATGTGTCCTTGTGATGCTGGCCACACTGTCCAACAAGAAGATGAGAACTTTGGGAAAGCAGGAGCACAAAAAAGACAGGAGTTTAAAGCAAACTGGCAAAGTTGGACGATGACTTACAATATTTATTAATGTTCCCACTAGGTTTGAGCCTAGGACCTTCTTATGGAGCTACATTCCCAGCCCTTGTTAATTTTGAGACAACCTTGCTAAGTCATTAAGCTGCCCAAACTAGGTTTGAACTTGTGATCCTCCTGCCTCAGCCTCCAGGTATACTAGGTTTAGAGGGAGAGGCCATGGAACACAACTGAGTTGCAGTTTTAAAAGGCAGTTATTGAGAAGGTGATATTTGTACAATAATTTAAAAGAAGTAGGGAGTGAACTCTATGTGTAGCTGGGAATGGTACATCTCAGATAGTTCTTTTAACAAAAGCAAAAAGAATGTATAAACTTGATCTTTCATGGGAGGGAGCCAGGGTCAGGACAGAAACTGAAGGAACATGGTAAGGAGAGGTGGACCTGGGAGGCTCCAGTGATAGCTTTTGCAACTTCCAAGGTGGTTCCTGCACCCTGGGGAAGCCAGGGGTGACCCAGATCCCCTAAGGTTTTCGATGCAGCATCTCCAAGCCCAGACAGGCTCTTCCTCGAGCCACTGGCATTTTAAATTGGAGCACAGGTACTTTCTATCCATTTCCTCCCTCTTTTCAGAGACCTTCACTCCCAAGCCAGCTCTCAACACCCGATGCTGGGGGAAAACAGAACACCAGACCCTGGTCATACTCTTGGGGAGATGATGTTGCTTGCTGTGCTCACTGTAAAGCCCTGCTGCTGTGAACCAAGGAGGTGCATCTCATTCAGGGGTTAGTTTGAGCCCCGTTCCTGTGCCCCCATAGGTTCAGGGCTGTAACAGTAGAGAAGGATCCATTGGTCTGAGTAATTTCTACATCTGATCCTAGGTTAGGTACCACAGGACACATGTGACAAGATGGAAATTCCTTCCCATGTTCCATACCTGGATATGTGCGACCCAATCCCATGCATATACTCCTTACCAAGCACACACCTGGAAGATGTTCAAGGGCCGGGCACAGACACTTTCCACAGACCTAGGGACACAATGGGAACACACACACTATATGCACATATGCGTATATGCACATGCATGTTTGCAAGGGTCTGAACACCCACACCAGATATACATACACCCTAGACATGCACACACGTGCCCCCAAACAAGCTCATCTCCCTACAAGAGAGTTTCTGTTCTAAGCAAACATCGGCATCTGAAGTGAGTGCAAACAAGTGCATGGCATAAAGTTCACCCATGTGTCCAGAGGGCTCTACCATTACAGCCATGATAGAGCAGGCCCATCCCCTCTCCACTGGCCTCTGGAGGGACAAGGCTAGGGTGAGACCAGGTTTGGGCAGGAGCAGACTCAGAGCTCCAGGGTGCTGACTCAAGGCCAGGAGCAGACAGCCTTGTGCATTCTTGACAAGGAGGTCAGTGTGACTGACCCACATGCTGGGACATAAGGTTGGCTGGGGAAGACGTGGGGAAAACCCAGCTGTCATGAAGTGGCAGTGCTCAATAGGCAGAGGTGCTGCCTCCCATTCTAGTCCCAGGTGAGTTAGGTCTATGCAGACCTAGAGCTGGGAGTGTGTGTCTGAGTCAGACCACGGCCTAGGAGGGGTGAGGTGAGTGAGCATGTCGTTGATATTGGGACTTGGCATGGGAGCAAGGCTGTGTGTTGGGCACAGGGCTGGGCATTCTTTGTGGTTCACAGCCTGCCAGTTAACTTTAATGGCTTCCATTTTATTGAGAGGAAACTGAAGCTTGGAGGGCGTAAGTGATTTTCTCTAGGTCCCCAGATAATCCAAGCAGAGCTGGGATGAGTCACGATTTCCCCTGCGTCTTTATGATCATAGCAAGATTTGCTCCCCCAAACCAGTTCTAGAGTTTGAACCCAGGGCCTTTGCACTAAGGGATATCCCCAGTGCTTTCCTTAAAATTCTTTCTCCTTTAGAGGTGGAATCTCTGTGAGTTTTTAAATTGCCCAGGCTGGGCTGAACTTGCAATACTCCTGCCTCAACCTCCCAGAGTAATAGGATCACTGGTGTCCACTGCCACATACACCTAGAATTTGCATTCTAAATTATCAAGTGGAGCCCATGGAGACACAGCATCAGAATATGACATAGTATCTTGGGTGGGATTCTGGAAGAGAAAAAGGGCAACAGGGAAATCAGGGTGACTGAATGGAGTTTAGTGGACATTATGGATTAAAAACTGGTGGGCAACTTAATGCCAGCTGAATTAAATCAACATGGTTCTGAGTGTAGATGGTCCACCTGAGGAAAGTTGTCAGCATAAATAGAGAGTTGGAGAAGAAGAGTGAGGCATTGTGGGTTTCTCTAAGTGTTGCTGTTTGAGCCACTGGTTCTCCTGGAGGAATTTGTCAAGACTAGCTTCCTCAGTATGAGTTCAATCACTGTCATCAGAGGAGCTCGGGACCTTGTTGGTGAGAGTGGCTTTGGTTCACTTTGGGGGACCTCTGGTCCTTATATCGAACGTCACTTTCTGACTCTGGGGGGAAGATATGTGCTGCTTAACCTCCAGGAGAAACTCATCATGCTGACTTTCTGGCATGTATTGGACTGTTCTTATTGTAAGAGGAGCTCAGGGCCTCTATGTTGCTGAGGAAGGCTATGGTACTTTTCAGGACAGCCCTGGTCCTTATTATGAGTGTCACTTCTTGGCTCCAGTGTAGAACCTTCAACCTACCAGCACAGCTCCTTCACCCCGCTGGCATATATTTTCTAGCTTCCACCGCTGACCTTTGGACCTTCCCAGCAATGGATCAATAAAAGAGACTGGTGTGAGTCCTTCTCATGGGCTCTAGACCTCCAGCTGGAATCATGGAAGGTATCATCATGGGCTCTTAAGTTTTCATATGGACTTATGCAGGACCTTGGCTGAATATTTTGTGTCTTTAGTGTTGTGGATAGATTTCCTGCACTTTCTTGTTTTTTACTCTGAGTGACCATCATAAAGTAATATAAACTGTGTGTCCTGATTCTAATTGTTCTCCTCAATCCCGGACCACAGCGGTGGATGATAGTGCATCATTACTGGACCATTCACTGTGAAAAATGTATCATACTAAGGCAAAATGTTAATAATAGGGAAACTGGGGTGAGGTACCATATAGATGATGGCCCTGAACATACAACTTCTAAGCAGGTTTCTTCAGTTTATCCTGAAAACAGGACAAAATGCAAACCCTGGGACTGATGCAAGGGTTAAATGAGATATCACATGAAAACCCCTTAGCATGATGCTTGGCCTAGAATAAGTGTTCAGTAAATGAGGACATTATTTTTATGCTAATTATGGTGATTTTTACAGTTATTCCACATGGAAGGTCATTGACAGACCCTCTTGTAGCTTCATTTTATTCATAAATTTAAAACCCAAAGGTCTCACCTAGTAGGTGTAACTTGGGCTAATCCAAGACCCAAAGAACATCACATGTCCCCCCAGCAAAAGCTGGCAGGACTGCACCTGCACCTCCTAGCTGGACATACATGAGGGTTTCTTCAGGACAAGCAGGAAAGGAAGTTTGGGTTCAGTCAAGAGATTGAGAGAGACAGACAAGAATTATGATTTAGCCATATATAGATGTCTTTGCTTAGGTTTTGGGGAGAATGGGGTTACATTCCAATATTAAAAAGATTGAAAAGTTTTTTATTTCTTTCTTTTTGGCATTGAATTTTGTATTTGTAAGTGACCAAATCTAATAAAATAAAAAACATGTTTACTACACATGTCCAAAAGACAGTACAGGTGACAAGCTATAAAACCAAAACATGAGCTGCCCTCGGTGATGGATTGAGTTTTATGGAGGAAAAAAACCAAAACCAATGACCAGCTTCTCTTGAGCACCAGAAACTCTGAGAATACTAGACCCTCATTTCCACTTCGTGATTTTTTTCCCACTCCTGGAGATTGAACCAAGGGTCTTCACTCAGAGCTTCATCCCTAACCCATTTTTATTTTATTTTTCATTTTGAGACAGCACTTAGTTCAGTCACTAAATTTCCCAGGCTGGGTTTAACGTTGTGATTTTCCTGCCCCCACTGGTGTGACTTTGACTGGAACAAGAACAGCAGCCTTCTTCAAATGCAGAAGCCTTTTGGGGAAACCCAGGGTTTCTAACCCACTGAGTCACTTGTGCAGTTTCATCCATTTCTAGCAGCTATGAGTGTGACATTTTCTGCATTCTGCTCCCTGTCCTTGGAACATTGTCCCTGTTCATTCCCGCCCTGTGATCTGATAAATCTTTTTGATCCTCCAGGAGTCACATTAATGTTACCTCTGAAGGGACAATTTCTCTGACTATCCCAGAATGAGTGAGCTTGCTCTGTCTTTATATTCTTGCTTCATCCTTACAAAATTCTTCACTGTTGTCACTAGAGAAGCATTTGTGATAGCTTTCCCTGACGGGGGAACTCCACTTAATAAACACAAAAGGAATGAGGAAATACAAAGATACCAGATCTCCAAAGGCAGGATCCACCCATGGATATTAAGTTTAGTGGGGGAAAGTTTAGGGAACAGGGTACATCATAGTGTCAATATGTGCTCTTCAAAACAAATTTTTATTTCAGTAAGTCCTTGATTTAGGAATGAGTTTCACTCTGGGAGAACATTTTTATTTAAGTCAGATTCATCTGTAAGTTCAACAAAGCAAACCTTGTACATCTTTGACATAAATACGTAGTTTATCTTGTTTTGTGCTTCCTAGCGGTCCTCTCCATACTGCCACTGCTTTTCCTTCTGCTGCTCGAGCCCCTGTGCTCTGATTAAGCAGCAGCACAACTGTGACAGTGTCAGGCAGACACATGAGCCACCTCCATGATTTCTTCACATCTATGAATGTTCATAATGCAAGGTCTGTTCATATTGGTGAAAGTTCACACTGAATGTTTATAAGTCAAGGACTGTTGGGAGCCGCGTCTGTGATAGCTCGCCTTGCGCGGCGGACGTGCGGCCTGTGGTAAAGAGCAAAGCCTGAGGTAGATTACCCCTCCCATCGAATATGTTAGTTTCCTGCTTACCGCGTAAACAACCCGCTCAACAATATAGTCTGCCTGGCAACTGATGATGTTAGCCAATCAGCTTGCCTTGCTTACTTTAACATGATTGGACACTGTACCCGTATATATACCGGTGCCACCCCTGGGCGGAAGAAGAAGCCAGGTAGAAGCCCAGAAGTAAAAGCCCAAAAGGAGCCGCGGAGAGCGGACCGGTAGAGGCTTTGGGGCAGACTGAAGCACAAAAGGAGCCGCGGGGAGCGGACCAGAGGAGGCTTCAGTTGGGAGAACCCAGGGCAGGCTGTACGGAGAAGGAAAATAAAAAGAAAAGGTTGTCCACTACCAGACTTTGTCGTGTGTCCTTCCTGCCGGCCGGGAGCGGACATCGACATTTGGAGGCCCGCCCGGGGACTGATCACCCCCGAGACGTGGAAGTGGACAACGCTCCAGTACAGAGCTGCGAGACAGGTGAGTTGGGGATAAGCCTGGGCTCTGGGTGGCGCGCACCTACAGGGCTTTTAGACTCCCCTCAGGCTCACGCGTAAGTGGCGGATTCCTTGGGCCTCACGCGGTGAGTAACATATTAAAAGATGGGAAACATGTTAGGTAGCAACATTAAGAGCGAGGGTGGTTGTGGAGAAAGCTCTCAAGAGCTTACAAAAGTACGCGGGGTATCTGAGCAGGCCCAGTCAGGGAGCTCCCGAGAGGGGTCCGTCAAGGGGAACAAGGATGCTAAGGAGGAGGACGGGGCTCTAGCCTCTGAGTCGTCTGACTCCGAGGACGAGGGAAAGTTGAATGGCAAGGAGGCCAAAGAGACCAGCTGTCAGGAGCCTAAGTCGCTCAATAAGGAGTCGCAGGGTTCTTTTCCAGCGTTGCCCCGCGAATTGCGCTCTGCTCAACCTGGTCTGCGGAGGAGTAGAGAGCTCCTGAGCGCTCCCTGGCGCGAGAGGGAGGCGAAGCCTTCCGCCCCACCTTGGGGGCCGTTTCCGGAGGCGATTCCTCGCCACGAGGC